TGTGTGTGTGTGTGTGTGTGTGTGTGTGTGTGTGTGTGTAGACTGGCTTCAAAGTATATCTGTGCTTTCAATGAACAGCTAGGCTTAGTGTTGGTAAAATTTCTTCCCTGGGGAAAACTCCTAAGATCCCAATGACAAACCAAGGCAGATGCCATCAAAGTTCCCTCTGAGAAAGCAATGATTCCACTGGCCGAGGCTGTACATACAGAGCACAGATGAGAGTGGGGGTGCCCGCTTCCTGGAAGCTGCCCTGTAAAGTCTTAGTCAGTAGGGATGCTGCCTTTCCCATAGGTATAAAGATTATAACTTTATATAACTTTCCCGTAGTTATAAAGGCGGAGATCACCCTCCTCCAAGCCTGCTCCAGTTTATAGACCCCAGCCCCTCCTCAGGGCCACACGCAGTTAATGTAACACTACACAGAACAGGTACAGAGGGGCGGGACCCACAGTCAATAGGCTCAGATCAGAGATCTTTTGCAAGTGGAGAGAGCTGAGCCTCTGAAGGCGGCTGTTAGTGTTACGTATTTTGTCTTAGACGAGCCTCTCCGCCCACGCAAATAATTCCAATCAGACCAAATCAGATGGAATAAAAGATGCCCATGTTTAATAAAACGCTCCTGGGTGGTCCTGGAAAAGCACAGAGGGGGAAGAGAGGAAAGTGGAGACCATGCGAAACCTGGAGACTATGAGTTCATCCTCTGGGGGGCAGTTTAAACAGCCTGTGGGAGTGGTCCCGACCCTCTCTGGGTAGGGGTCACCATTTGGTGGGCTTTCTCGGAGGTGGAGTTTGGACTAAGGCAACTCCCAGGGGATGGGGCTTATGCCAGGAGCTGGGGTGAAGCCCCCAGCCAAACAATCTGGGCTTTTTGTATAAAGGGGTGTTAGGGAGCTGAGGTGATGTTTTGGACCAAACAGTCTCAGAGGTTCCCCGAGTACAACACGGGTCATCTCCCATGTCAAGCACAGGGAAACTGAGTGTCGGTCTCACTTTGCGCTAAGGAGACAGGCAAAGAGGCAGCTATCCAGGAGGGCAGGCTGCTCTGTCGGGCTGTGGGAACCAGAGCAAACATTTGGCCTCTATTTTTTTTTTTTCTGCCACTCACCACACGGGGAACCAAATGCCGCCACCTGGGCCTCATGCATCCCCCTTCACTGCTGCCCTTCACTCCGAGGACTGCTGGCTAGTCACAGTAGCTCACTGGTTCCTAAAATCTGCTCTCTTCGTGGTAGAAATGCTGTTAGCACTGTGCCTCCTTGGAATTCCATCTCGCCAAGGGGATCGCTCTATAATGTGAGTACTTAGTAAATATTGTGTATTCTCAAACAGAAGCCCAAACCATGGCAGTCTGCAAAAGACTGAACTTCTGTCAGCAGAGGGAGAGGAAAGAGCAGGCGAGCCTGGCAGAGCGGGCAGGGTCGGCTCCCTACCCAGTGATTTTATGCTATTATGGGCTTCAGCATTTACCAAGCACAGAGTAAAGCCAATCTGCATTCTACGGACGGACGTGGATAGTGGGATGAGAAAGGAGGGCACTGGGAGCTGCTGGGAGGGAGGTAGGTTGTGGTTTGGGCTGGGAAAGAGGCCCTAGGGAAAACGGCCTCGATTTAGACTCTTTATCCCTCTATTTCACCCAAGCAAGGCTCATGGGTGAGGATCAGGATGACTCTGGTGCATACCGGCTGGGCCCTAGGGTCAGATGAGAGGGCAGGGTGTGGGGACGTGGGGTTGTGGGGTTGTGGGGGTGTGGGGGTGTGGGGGTATGCTAAACCTCCAGGCTCCAGCAAGGAGCCCTTCAGAACAGTGACTGCCCCGCCCCCTCGGGACCTGCCAGAGAGTCCTGCAAGGACTCTGGATCTCATTAAGGCTGCAGCTGCCTGTAGCCTGGTCCCGGCGTGGGTCTGGTTTCTATCACTTGACTGTTGATTTGACCTGCAATCAACATCAGAGGGCACATTCCTGGCCCGTGGTTTAAGAGCAAAGCATACTTCTGCCTGCAGCTGAGGTAGCATTCTGTTCAGGGCTGCGGTGCGCAGTTCTGAAGCTCTCGGCGTTCCTTCTTCTGTCTGCATCTGGCTGCGCCTGTAGTTTTGATTTCAGAGGCAGGCAGGCAGGCAGGAAGCAGGAGGGCATGTGCTCCCTCCCCCACCCCCAGTCAGGATCTGTCTAAACGCTGAAAAGTGCAAACGCAGCCAGATGAATGTGCACTTGCAGTGTTTGTGATGGAGGCCCCCAGGGAGTCCTGGGACTCAGAGTCTTTACTGGAAACACCCAATAAACTGCCGGCCTCCAGCCCCCCTGCTGTTTTAGTGCCGGGCTTTAAACGTCTTCTCCATGCTGTGGAGAAGGTTCCTTGGACCACATTCCTGCTTGCAGCCCCACACCAAACATGGCTTTCCCACACCCAGCTCCCTCGGAGCCGAACTGGGCTGGAGAGATGAGGGCTACTTCTTGGATACAAGGTCTTTTCTCAATGTGTGTACCCACTCTCTGTACATCAAGATG